TTTTCTAGGAGCAGCTTGTGAGTCTGAGCAAAGCCCTGGAGGCAGTAGCCGGCAGTTCGGGACCGCCCGACTGGGCAAGTCTTGGCAAACTGGAGAGGAACCATCGGCGTCAGCTCCGAAGCCTCGATCGCTCGCATCATGCGAGACTCCATTCGTTCCTGGTAAGCTTCCGGATGGGAGCGCATTGCAGCGTTGAGCTTCTCGACCGCTTCGATCCCACGACCTCCCTTGCTCGTCGAGGACCATGCTCCTCCATCCTTGGCCTCCCCGTCGCTGGATTCGGATTCCTCCCAGGACGGCAGTCCCGGAAGTTTGCGACTTCGCTTGGTCTGCTTGCCCTGCAACATCTTCACCAGCGCAATCTTGAGGAGATCGTCCGTCGAAGCCCCGCCTTTCGCAGCATCGCCATCCAGATTCTGCAGAAGCTCTTGCGCCACGGCCGTCTCTCCTGTCCGACCGGGCTCGTCCTGAGTCCGGGGCGGCGGGGGGTTTACCTGGCTCCTCACGGCATCCAACATAGTCTCCATGCGATCCCGTCCCGCATCCAGCCTTCCTACGCCACCACCGGCGGGCGAAGGCGGCTTGTTTGATGCCTTTGGCGTTGCTCCCGCTCTGCCTGCCGCTTTCGACTGGGCCTGATCGACGCGGCCCTCCAGTTTGGCAAAGCGACTGTCCATGGCTTCCTTGATTTCCGAGAGCTGGGCCATCAATGCTACCAGGCGGTCTGGTTCCGGTGCCTGAGGTGCCCCAGTGGGGGGAGGATTTATTCCAAGCTCCTCGGCCGCCGTAAAGTAATCTTCCAGGCGCTCCTCGCCCGTCTCGATCCAGCCTGACACAGCATCGTCCAGCTCTCGAAAGTCTGGAAGCACTCGGAGGTCCTGGGTGAAGCCCACCACGGTTCGCCGAGTCCGAGGGTTTCGCCGCTCCAGCTGGAGTCGGACGTTCATCCGAAACTCCACCAGCAAGATTTCCAGGAGCTCCGTGTCTTCCTCGGCTCCTTGAGCCGCCACTGTGGTGACCCAGCTGGGGCCTACTAGACCGTCGCCCGCCCCTTCGGCCGCCTCGTCCAGAACCTGGGTGGGCACTTGAGCAAGAGAAGGTCCACCGCCTCGCTGGCACTGTTCAGCACCTTGAGGCTTGAATTCCTCGCTCGGCAATTGGCATGATGCTCCCAGCAAGTAGGCCTCTGCCTCAACCAAGGACGGGAAGCCTCGCGAGACGATTCCCTTTCGCCAAATTCCAAGCGGCTCCTGGACGGCCCTGAAGTAGTTGGCAGAAGACCGAGTGATTCTGGGCCAGTTCCCTGACGGGTCGTAGAGGATAACGTAGACCGCTGTCTGGATGGGGAAGGAGTCACGGGGGGCCTGATAGCGGCCCTCCAAGGCGCACTCGGCGTCTTGCTTGCCAAACTCAAAGGCTCTCTCCAAGCGCCTTTGAGGTGAGGCAAGCCGAGCACGGCGCACAAGATGAAGAGGAACAGCCCCGGTAGACGGAACGAGTTCCACGGCCAGCCTGGCACTCTCGCCCTCCGGCTCACCGACAATTTCCCATTCCCTGCCGCCGTGGCTAGAAGTAGAAGCAGGCTCTCGGCCTGAATGGATCTCAATGGACACTTCCGTGTCCCCAACGCTCACACGCAAAGTAGTGGACCGGCTGTCGCTCATCCACGATAAGCAAGCAACCGGTTGCGGCCTGCTCTCGCAGCAGGAGGTTGCACTTCCTCCTGACCCTCAAGGGCAGAAAGAAGCAGTCGTACAGTCCACCGCCTGCACCCAGCAGAAAGGATGAACCCGATCACCACACCTCCACAAATGAACCCAATCCAGAAGACCAGTAATGACCAAAGAATGAGTTCAGCCGCTCGCGGGGGATTGTTGCACCACCAATTGCTCAAGACAGGAAGGGAGCTAACTAAGAGATCCCTGAGCATCCGAAAAAGCTTCAGGATTCATGCACTGCACTATCAATCAGCACACAAAGAATGCAAGCCATGCTGTCATGCAAGCTTGGCACTCTCGCACGTGCGGGACAGGCTTCCCATTTGCAAAAAAAATTTTCGCAGGGTGAATGGCGTTGTTTCAAAAACGCACATATTATGCAGGGTGTGTTTCAGCAACGACCCCTATGCTGTCACGCAAGCTTGCAGACGGCTTGAAACAGCGGTGGGGTTGCGGGGGGCAGCCCCCCACCCGCCCACATTTGCAATTATGATGGTCGCGTGGTCGGTTAAAGCAAAAAAAAGAAACAGTGCTGTCAAGCAAGTGCGCACTCTCGCATGCCCGGCGCAGGTTCCCAATTGCAAGCACCCTTGCCACAAGGTAAAAAATGGTATTGGTTTCTAAAAGACACATCTCAGGGATCGCGGGTTTCAAGTCATGCAACCTTGCGCACGGCTTAAAACAGCGGGGGGGTTGGGGGAGGCGCAGCCCCCCCCATTTTCAATCACGATGGCTGGTTTAAACAGCGGGGGCGTAGGGGGGCGCAGCCCCCCACATTTGCGATTCTATGATGGTCGCGTGGTCGGCTGAAACAAAAAACGCATATGTGCTGTCAACCAAGTGCCACTCTCGCATGCCCGGCGCAGGCTCCCCGATTGCAAACACCCTTGTGACAAGGTAAAAAATGGTATTGGTTTCTAAAAGACACATCTCAGGGATCGCGGGTTTCAAGAACGACTCCTGCGCCGTCATGTAACCTTGCACACGGCTGAAAACAGCGGGGGGGTTGGGGGGGCGCAGCCCCCCCCTGTCGCAATCACGATGCTCGCATGGCTGGTTTACAACAAAATCATATGGGCGGCGGGGGGGGGGGGGGGGGTTTAAGGGGGGCAGCCAGTCACGATGCTCGCATGGTTGGTTTTAAACAAAACGCATATATATATATATATATATATGCTGTCAAGCAAGCTTGGCACTCTCGCACGTGCGGGACAGGCTTCCCATTTGCAAACACTTTTTCGCAGGGTGAATGGCGTTGTTTCCAAAACGCACATATTATGCAGGGTGGGTTTCAAAACGACTCCTATGCTGATCACGCAAGCTTGCAGACGGCTTAAAACAGCGGGGGGGTTGGGGGGGCGCAGCCCCCCCCCCCCCACATTTGCAATTAGGATGGTCGCGTGGTCGGTTAAAAAACGCATCTGTGCTGTCAAGCAAGTGCGCACTCTCGCATGCCCGGCGCAGGTTCCCAATTGCAAGCACCCTTGTCACAAGGTGAATGGTGTTTTGTCTCTAAACGACTCATCTCAGGCATCGCGGGTTTCAAGAACGACTCCCAGGCCGTCATGCAACCTTGCGGGCGGCTTAAAACAGCGGGGGGTGGGGGGGGGGGGGTCGCAGACCCCCATTCGCAATCACGATGCTCGCATGGCTGGTGTACAACAAAATCGTACGGGCGGCGGGGCTTCGTTCCTTCCTTCCTTCCTTCTTTCCTTCCTTCCTTCGTTCCTTCTTCCTTCCTTCCTTCTTCCTTCCTTCCTGCATTGCCTTCGAAGGGACCCCGGCGAAAAAAAAAGAGACGAAAAAAAAGAACTGAAAAAATACGCCCTCCCTACTACTAGTACTAGTACTACTAGTACTACTAGTACTACTAGTACTACTAGTACTAGTAGTACTAGTAGTACTACTAGTACTAGTACTAGTACTAGTACTAGTACTAGTACTAGTACTAGTACTACTACTACTACTACTACTACTACTACTACCACTACTACCACTACTACTACTACTACTACTACTACTACTACCACTACCACTACTATTACTACTACTACTACTACTACTACTACTACTACTACTACTACCACTTGATCGAAACCTTAAATGAGCAACTTAAACGCCCAGATATTGTGTCGTTCCCGATACTGTTGTTTGCGGGGGCGGTCGTCCCCGGGGGCGCGTTTTTCTTTTTGCTGTCGTTGCGGGGGGGCGTTTTTTTTTGCTGTCGGTGCGGGGGCGCGTTTTTTTTTTTTGCTGTCGGTGCGGGGGCGCGTTTTTTTTTTTTTTTTTTGCTGTCGTTGCGGGGGCGCGTTTTTTTTTTGCTGTCGGTGCGGGGGCACGTTTTTTTTTAGCTGTCGGTGCGGGCACCGGGGTTCACTCACTCACCGGCTTCCTGGGTCCGCGCAACGAGAACAAAAAAACATAAAGGCAACGACAGCAAAAAAAAAAACACGGGTTCCCTTATAACTACTTATAACCCCAATTCAGGTACTTATAACCATACTTACTAAGTCGCATGATCCTCCAGGTAGCATGCTTTCTTAGTCTCATCGTTCCCATTGAACTGACCAGCCTGGTTATTCGGGCTTCCGCTCGACATCCAGAACCTAAACCGCTGCAAATCCGAAAGGACTACAAACCCCCAGGGAACTTAAAACCACTCAATCTCTGGACCGCTCAATCCGAAAATCCCGAAACTCCTACATTATGCAAAATCCCTCTACCACTAACCCTCTGAGAACGACTCCTATACACCCGAAACCCTTTGAAAGCGTTTAAGGGCTGATGCCCCGAATCAAAGGGAACTCGCAGAACATTAAAACTCCCAGCCCCACACACCGAGAACCCCAACACCAACAACCCACCAAATCACCCAAACCCACTTTCAAAACCCCAAACCCTCTGGACCATCAAACTGAAACCCTAAACTCTAAACCTTCCTTTACACCATGTCATTTTCAGCCCAGGATACAAAGACAGAATCAAATTCTCGAAGTCCAAGAACAGAGGCCACCCACGACAGTATTGGTTCGATATAGTCTCCAAACAGGCGATTAAATTGGCTGAAAGTTTTGACCACTCCGCTCGGACTCAGGATTTTCTTGGTGTAAAACACCTCATACATAAACACGAAAGCTTTCGCTCGCATCTGCTGGCTGCGCCGACGCGCAACGCTGAATCGTTTAAATTTCTTAGCAGAAGTGTGGGTGGAGCATGGCGGACTTAAAAAAACTCTAAACCTCTATTCAGGAGCCCGGACACGAAAAAAACTCCCAGAAACGCCTCACTCTGGACGCTGCGGAGCGCCAGAGGCGGTCGAAGCTTGGGCGGGCTTTGGCCTCCGAAGGCAACTTAGGCTTCGGTGTTTGGGGGTTTCGGTTTTAGGATTCAAGCTCTTAGGTTCATGGTTAGGGTTCGGTGTTTAAGGGTTAGGTCTGAGGACTTTAGGGTTCAGGCTTTTAGGAGGCAGGGGTTTGGGGACTCTCAGTTGTGGCTTGCTTAGCTTTCGGGGCCGAAGGCTTAGACAAGACAATGCTGAGCGCTCAAAGACCTTCGTGGCCGCTTACTGCTGTGCCGCTTCATACAGTGTTGGCTACCAAAAACCACATCAAAGTTGACTATACTTCTAACAAAAAATGCCAACCATTTCGTTTTGAAGATGCTGTCATACCAGTAATCAGCCATATCAGAAAGTCGCTCAGAGGTCATCGATCGTTGTCGCTATCACCCATGCACCTGCATGTATCTCACTGTGTTGGCTTCACACAAGTGCCTCTTTTCATGCGGCGCTTCCAGGCAATGTGCACTAGCGTTAAGATTGCGAGATGGTGGTACATTCTCGTGGGGCAAAGATAAGCCTGATCCTCGCCCAAAGCAGCCGGAAAAAAATACCGGAAACTGAAACCAAGCACCCCGCCCCAGCAGCACTGGCAGCCATGGCTTCACAGGGCAATGCAAACTGTGCTGGTCACTTCGAATCTCAACGTTGCCCTTACAGGTTTGTCGATGCCTGGCATCTTTCCAACAGCCACATAGTCTAGCCACAAGGGGCTAGCGATCTCACTGTGAACGACTCTGGTGCGCTCGAAAAACCTTCTTGCTGGCTTGAGCTACACGCCCTGCCTCGAGCTGGGAGAACGGATGTTGGCAAGTTGGCACTCAGAGACATGTGAGTACACCACGACCACGCATGCATTGCAGCAAAACCCGCCTAAAATTGACAGACCAACAACAACTACAACTACAGCAGCAACAACGATAACCACGCTGATGATGAAGAAGGAAGAAATGATGATCATGAACCAAGATCATGATGATGATGTTGGTGTGACAACAAAAATGATGATTATGATGATGATTGATGATGACGGTGATGCCAATGACCATAATGACATCGTCCGCCTCGGTGATCATGACCATCGTCACCGTCGTCACCAAACTGATACTGGAGCTGAGGGTTACGAACGATGACGAAGCTGGCTACCATAACGAATACACATATATGTATGTACGACCTGAATCTGCCACATCCACTGCAACCTGCTGCTGCCACTTCTACTGCTGCTGCGGCTCCTGCTGTCACTGCCATGGCTAATATCTGCACGACGTCTACTCGACATGCCGCCTCCTGCCGCTATTCCGACGATGCGAGCTATTAAGGGCTCGTTAAACATGGCAATATGCCGGTACTTCTGCTACAGACTCCATCCTCACTACTGGAGATCCTTAGTACTGGAAATCCACCATGCCGATAAAAACACCGGACCCAGGCTCGCTGAACATGTAATGTATGCTAACCGCATTAACACTCAAAGTATGCTAGTTGTGAGGGAAATGTCAACATCAATCATGTTGCTCGCCGCAACAAGAAGACTCTTACTCTTACCAAGCTAGTAAGCTACTGTTCCACACAAACAATCCACAATACACTACAACAAGACCGATGCACTCCTTTTGTCAGCAATGACGGTGGGAACAACAACGGCGATTCTTAGCTATAGCTTCTACATGTAAATGCTGTATGTTATACTCCAATGATGATCACTGTCAGTCTTGCTGCCAGACATGCAACGAGCTTAATCTACTGTCGTGCTTGCCACGGAAGAAACACAGTTCCAACTCCAGGCCCCGCCTCTGACAGCGTCGGCGCTCTAGGTTTGATTGTGTTGCGCTGCCGCAACTTGATGTATGGCTGCATTCGCACTGTAGTTTGACAAATCTGTCATAGTCCTCACCACTCTCTATGCTTCCCTGCAGCTTGGGTGCGGTATCTCGACACAAAAACAACGCGCTGCCGCAGCAGCAGCAGCAAACGAGGTTGTTTGAGCATCGAGTGGCTGCTCACCGCCATTCTACAAAGAGCTTGAGCCGCACACCCAAGGCGCAGAGCCCGTGTCACAACAAGCACAATCCCTTCCGCAATGCAATGATGCATATGCCTACGATACAACACCCAGGAACTTGTGTGCAAGGTCAGGTCATCCCAGCTCCACCTGCCTGGGCGCATGGTGGTTCCCGTGCCTGCAAATTCAACTGCAGATGTCTGGCTTCAGGATAAAAGAAGTCCGCATTGCGTGCCATTGCTCATGCTTGGAGTGCTGGGTGCCCAAGATATCCAGCATACAATCACTCACTCACGGATCACAACAATGCAGGTTTCGGAAGCTTTGCGTTGAGCAGTGATTTTCTGTTAGGCTGCGCCTATGTGACAAGTTTTTCTGATGTGTTCATTGGGCATCCCGTGTACATTGACACTAGCAAATGACAACCCTTGAAATGACGCAGGATAATCTGCAGGTTGGAACCGCAGCTGCCAGATCTGCCAAAACTAAACCTCGAACCCAAAAACCCGTAATTCCTACAATTTACTGAATCTACTCCTAAATAAAGCTCCAAATTTGCACTTCTAAACAATACACCTGATGTTGGAAGGCGTCAATACTTTACTTCGTACCCTGCCTGCACCATGGCTCTTCGCAGAAACCCTTTTTCCACAACCAAACAACACTGCGGCGCAAGGCAAATCTAGGGTGTTGAGTTTGAGGATATGTCGTTTGGGTTGAAGAAGAATGTAAACTTGGAAGTTGAGCGTTCGGCGTTTAGGAAAATGTACAGACACAACAGCCTGGAGACGGACACCCCGAGCACAGCACACAGACCGTCTGTCACCCCGGCAGCCACAATTCCCAGTCTTCCTGGGCATCACTCGAAACACCCCTTGAGATAAGCTCGACCAGGTTCTCAAGTTGTTCAAATTCACAGAAGGAATGTCCAAATACAGTGGCAGATTTGCCAATAAAGCTGCTGGCGGGAACTAGCCCAACGAACTTAGATCTGGCTGAGTTCTCCCCCATGCCAAATCATATTACTTTCTAGGGAAAGCTTACGCAACGGCCTGCTAATTTACAGGGTTGAGCTTCAACTGCACATTTCAAGCCTGTGTATCTAAAACATGACATCTTTGCTGAACATCTGCTAGTGTCTGTACTATTGCCAAGTGATTCCGCCTGAACCATCGTGAACCTGTGCAACGCTTTTGCCAATGATTCTGCGTGAACCATCGGAAAACACCCCACCACTTTTTGTTAAGCAACACATTACATCTCAATGCTGGAATCGCGGTCTTCCTGCAAATTAAGCTGCATGAGTTCATTCCAAACATGAGTAGACTTTCACACCTTCGTGGTTAGTTTCCAAACGAAGCAGTGCCGCTCACCTTGGTTGTCTGCATGAAGTCCATACCGCTTGCCGCCGCTGCACAGCACCGCTTCGCACTCGCCAATCACACTTTGGGAGGTCAGATCCAAAAGACTTTGTGGCATCACTCCTTTTCGGCCTTAATCGCACTTGCTCATGAGCTTTCCTCGGGAATCACTGCCATCGCCGTCGTTCACGACGATCAATGACGTTTAAGAGTACGCAACAACCTTCAAAATAACAACGAAAAACATTCAGAAGCATTAAAACTTTTTCAACATGCGCATTCAATCGGTCATCTTTTTTAAATTTCAATTCATGATTGCACGCCAAGCAAAACGAGTCCACGCTGGGCAAACGCTAGCAACGAGTCTCTAACAATGCCCAGTTTCGGACGATTAAGAAAACTCTCCCGTTCGGACGGATTGGTCTGTCACTGTGAAAAGTGTATTTGAAATACAATTGCCGGAAATCGGAAAACGAACAAAGCAAAAGGTCGTATCATCGACATCACCTCCAAACAACAAGGTTTTAGACAAAAAAACGACTTTCACCACGTTTTAACAGACACAAGGCTTTCAAAAGCCAAGCTCATGCAAGTGCAGCACTGTGCTGAAATTTGCAGTAAGGGCTCCGTTATGGAAAATGACGCCTTCAGCCTTCCGGGTACGTCCTTGCGCCGGCTCCTCTTCTCGTCTTCGGAAGAGTAGCTCCAGATGGAATCATCCTCGACCGTCATACTCGTCATACTCCTGTAAATCCGCAACTTCAAAAAGCGAAGTAGGCGCAGCATCATGATCTGAAAGAACCATGTGCTTGCTGGGCTGCAACAGCTTCAACATCATGGGCATAGACTTTGCTCCACCATACCGGACAACGGGACAGCCCCGTTTCCCTGCACAATGGAAAAGACGCAGCAGAGGATCTCTCTATGCCGTTCCAGCCAAACAACAACAATTGAGGATGTGCAAAACCCTATGTGGGAACATGAGACATGCTCTAACTGTCGCCTTTGACGCGGAGTCACACGGGACCGGTGGAGGGGCACGCTTCCAGGCCTGTTTCAACCAACAGCAAAAACCGCTTGAGACAACTCGATGAAAATTTTCTGTGGACTCTGCGGACAATGTTCTTTGCTGAGAATGTCCTTCTACTTAACTCTCGTGCATCATCCTGATAGAGAGGGTGCAAACCAAATTGGCATTCGACCCAATGGCCAAAGGTTTGGGCCGAGACGATGTGCGATTGGGTTTTGTGGCGATGTTTTCAGTATGTGTCTCGTCTCTCTTCTCACAATGCAGGTGATGCAAGCACACAGCACAAGCATGCGAGGGACATCACTGCACATTTTTGGCTGCAAGGCTGCCGCCCACGAGAAGGGCGTCAAACTGTGCCAGATTCCAGTTTCCGAGACGTCGCATGGAGCGCAGCAAGTGCCACGTTTCAGCTGCTCCATGCCTCCGCGCGAGACTGGTTGCTCTCAAAAGAACTGTCCAAACTGCGCTTTTGCAAGAACTTGGAATTTGTGCACTTTCTTTTTTGGCGTGGGCGGGCCTCAAAGACAGCAGGTCCTGCGCTCGGTCCCAGCAAGAACTACAATAAGAAAAAAGCAAAGCAACTGTACAAGAATGATGCGAAAGAAAGACTATGCAATACTATGGTGAAACGGGGTGCGACTTGCAGACTGTGCCGGCAGATATCGTTCAGCCCAAGTTAAGCTTTTTTTGGCGTGAGCGGGCCTCGTCGACTACGGCTGTAGCACTCGGTCCCTACAAACAACACAAACACACAAAACAAGAAAACAGCGGTGAAACAGAGCGGCAGCCAAAAAGAGAGGCGAGAGCTAGCTGCGGCGCACAGGCTTTGCCGGTGTTGGCCGTTCAGCACAACTACGGGGCCTCAACAACAATAGGCCGTCGCCTAGAGCTGTCCAAGATCACCGGTGGAGCCCAAAATCGAAGCTCCAGCCGCCGTCCTAGTTCCGTCGAATAACGGTCAGCCCCGGGATCTTGTTGCGTCACGATCGTGCACACAGTCCACAAGTCCACGTAGGTATCCACAACAGCTGTCGCGATGCCAAGAAGGACTCTACGACGTATGTCGCTGGTCGACGGGCAAAGGGCAGCTGGGAGCGGCATCCCCCACGGGGATTGTGGTATGCACAAGAAGTTGGGAGTTGTATGCGGTTAAGCGGACATGCCCAGCTTCCCAAGGTGGGACTCGCAAGGGCCAACCAGCCAA